ATCCAGCCAGTTAATAGGAGTTTGAATATTTGTAGTCATTTGCACTGGTGCCAGCAGAAAGGTCATTAGTCTCTTGCTCAAGGCTGTTTTTACTATCCAGTGTACCATCTAGCAGTGTAACATGGCCAGGGAAAAGGAAATTATCTAGATTTATTACAATGTAGGATAACTGAAACATTTTTGTACTGACAAAAACTCCTCTGTGAATCTGGCTCATCTTTACTCAAAATGTATTAAAATGCCTGTTCCAAAAAGTCACATTCCTATGAAGTAGGTATGGTATTTCCTATGTTGTAATAGCCTTAGAAAAAGTAACTTTTATCTTTGTAACTTGCTTTTGATCACTCAACCTTGAACATTCCTTTGTTTCACATAGTAGGATGGTGACTGTATGTATAAATGGGGTTTTAGTTCTTTTGACCCCTGTTCTACCCTAAGGGAATGCAAATATTTGTTCTCATTTGTTTCCTGTGCACATTGATTAACAAACAGGCAATTGTAACAAACTGGTAAAGCCACGGCTCACTGCATGAGCTGATAAAGTTGGTATGTGTCATTGTGTTGAAATATTAAAACTTCCAAAGGTTATTCATAAAGTGACGTGAGTAATAAGTGAAATGTTAGTAGTGCCCAAGATAATGTTAAAAACCATTGAGAAAAGCAAACTGTTAAACAGGTATAAACCAAACTGGCTCAGAGCACCTGGTTCAGAGAGGTAAGGTTGCTTGGCTGATGTCTTTCTGCCACCCAGCCTGGCTTCATATATTCTTTAAACCCATAAATCCTGCCGTTGCTCAAGTTGACCCAGTGGCCAGGGCTCTCTTCTGGTAAGAAAAGGAAATAAATCATTTAGTGACACCATCTCTTTCCCAAGCCTTCATGGCCACCTGTGAAATTGCTACTGGACAATTTTCTGTATTTAGCTAGTCTCAACATTTTAATGTACACTGGAGGGAAAAGTCAAGATAAGGATGGCCACACACCTTCCTCAAGTCCCACGTACCCAACAGAAATGATAAGAAGTTTTCTAAGTCTGTCCTACTTTCCAGCTTCTGTTTGAATAGAATATATGAAAAGCATAACACAGCATTTGTAGAAGAAAAATCATTGCACATGGGGATAACCAAGTAGTTTTACATGAGCCAAAAGAAATAGATAATATTTTGCTGCATCTCCATTTTAGTGATTATTTTTTTCTTTATAATGCTCATTTATGAAGAAACGAAAAACAGTCTTTTTAAGGTTTGTATTTCAAACCAAAGTGTGTGCTGCTCAGAGACCTTACCTAAATAGCTGTTTTCAATTACCATACTTTTCCTGGAGTGCTGTACATCTAATCTTGCCTTCTCAATATAGCATTTCTTTGAGTTAAAAGCATGGGACAGCGAGTATTCTTGAATTTTTACTGAGTGCCAAGACCATCTACAGTATTTGAAAAAGGATAACTTCTTTTAGTTGTTCTTCAGTCTTTCACAGTGTCAGCTGAATGTAAGTACAACAGAAAATTTTCTATGAAAACTGTATTAAGTTGATGTGTAAATGTGTGCACACACATAAACAATATACACATTTACATATATCTCTGTAAGCACGCTTATTCAAAATGATTTCCATAGAAAAACTGTTTTTAATATAAATATTTATGACAGTAAGCCTGAGTGGATAGTTTGGCTGCTGATTGTTTTGTTTTTGCTTTTGTTTTGCAAGCAGTCAACAGGGGAAGATGTAAGTACTTAAAGTAGATTATGTGATGTCTTAAGTGTGTTGTAAATAGTTGTTAAATTCTGTGAATATTTAGCATGTTATAAATGTTGTATAAAATGTTATAAAGCAACTATACTTTATTCTGTTGGGCTTTTTTCTACCATGGCACCAGTTAAATGCTTAGCTGCATAGTGGCTTTGTATATTCAAAGGAGGCAATCAGCTGCAGCTAACATTCACCAACACAAATTCAACCACAGTGAATTATGCCTGAAGATGTATGCTTAGATCTAAGAGACACTCTGCAGAAAGTATTCTGAAAGTCAAGTTTTCACAAAGATCTTAGCTTCTAGAGCCCAGCTGGTGTTGAGTTCAGCTGTTTTGCTTTTCTCGGGCTCTGCCAGGTGCTTCACTGAATTAATGAGCAGGTAGTAACTGTTCTCTGAATTGAGAAAGATCCAAAGTACTCTTATCGTAAGGGGCACTGCAAGAAAGAGGAAATTCTTGATAGGAGGGTAAAAATTCTGGTTGTTTTAAGAGCCAGAAGTCCCATAGTGCATTTCCAAGCACACATGGCTCCTCTTGCATTGCAAATCCCCATTTTATTAGTTTTATCTTGCTTGCTTAAAGTTCCCTCTAAGTTTTAATTAGTATGATGATATTTTCTCCTTCCTGTTCTAGATGTTTTGTGTTTCTGCTGTGTGTTGGACATGAGTATCTGATGGCAAATTATGAAACAGAAACATTTGGTAGTAGGATGTGGAAAAGGCTCTTCGATGGACCCTGTAAACCCCTCTGAAAATGTACAAAACTTGAAGATAAAATCATAATGGGGCCAGAACATTGACTAATGTAAATATGCTCACAATTGCTGATGCAAATGGGGAAGAGAAGGATTTAGGGGTCTTGTGATGTTCATCTGTTAATGTAATCACAAACCTTCACGTCTTCGTTAATGTGTAACTGTAATGCCAGAGGGGTCAGGCTATTCCAGACAGTGCAATGTTGTGATACCTCCTACATGAGAAATACCAGCAGTCTTATGTATTCTTCAATTAAATCCCCAATCCAGTCTTCCTCTGGAATGAGTTTGCATAACTCTACATGCTTCAAAGGAACTGCACTGATTTATAGTAGCTAAGCACTTGGTATTTTATTGATGTCTGCCACTGCAAATTTAAATGTTGTGGCTTGCTTTAGAAATTAAAGCTCTTTTCACACCTGTAAGTAGTTTCACATTAGTCACAGAAGTTGTTCTAAACAATACGAGATAGTCACTTGAAGACTGTGGTGGCCAAAAAAAATAAACAACAAACACGAGCATGACAGTCAGCTTAACTAGAAGAATGGTGGATAGGGTGTTTTTTTGCTGGTTGCTGAAGCTGATCAAGTATAAGATGTGCCTTAAAGAACCTAGCAGTCCCAGAGAAATTAGTTATCCCTCCTCTTCCTGACGTGCAGTGGTAGGCTGAATATATGTATAAGAGCATGTGAGGACTCCAAAGACAGTTGCAGTGTGCTTATCCTCACTGTTCACACTGAGTGTGACAAAGGACTATTTGAGGAGCTTGTACCAGTGTGGCTCAGCACCTGCTTAATTTATTCTTTTTAATTTAATCAAAACTACTCTGATCTAAACTCCCAAAAACTGCTGTGTCATCTATGCACTTCACCAAGCATAGCATCATAGAATCACAGAATGGCCTGGGTTGCAAAGGAGCACAATGCTCATCCAGTTCCAACCCCCTGCTGTGTGCAGGTCACCAACCAGCAGCCCAGGCTGCCCAGAGCCACATCCAGCCTGGCCTTGAATGCCTGCAGGGATGGGGCATCCACAGCCTCCTTGGGCAACCTGTGCCAGTGCCTCACCACCCTGTGTGAAAAACTTCCTCCTGATATCCAACCTAAACCTCCCCTGTCTCAGTTTAAAACCATTCCCCCTTGTCCTATCACTATCCACCCTCATTAATTAGCCATTCCTCCTCCTGTTTCTACGCTCCCTTCAAGTACTGGAAGGCCACTATGAGGTCTCCCAGAGCCTTCTCCAAGCTAAACAAGCCCAATTCCCTCAACCTTTCTCCATAGGAGAAAGAAGAGAAGCAGAAGAACCTGTCCAGTGTTTTAAGCATACCCATATTATCACAGTCCTCTTTTCATTTCTACCTGCTGATTTTTATGGTCTTACATTAGCAAATGTAATATTGTATTAACATATTATTTCCACCTTTTAATACAGGAGACAAATTTGATTTAGGCACGTTTAGCAAAATCATACAAGTTTGTATTTCATTCTGGTTTAGGCTATGTTTAGAAAAAATACTAAGTGTCTGTCCAGGCTGACCCTATCTTACAGCTCCTTGCAGCTTCCTAGTTTGGAAAACAAAAAGCCTCAAAGTGATGCCACAAATATTAATAACTCTTTGAGGGAGCAATTTAAAAGCCAGACTTGCAAGCTGATACCGTGATATCTGCTATTGGCAGAAATACAATCCTTTGAATCATACATGAGCCCTTAGCATCTGTCACGTTGCTTGTTTTCTCAGGGGCCTAGTGATCAGGCAGTATAGCATGCAGTAACACCAGGATCTTCTGAGGAGTCTACCTCAGTATTAATGGTTTCGTCAGCTTGTAGGAACAAGAAAATAATTGGGCACACCTGGGACACAGAAGTGCTTCTGTGTGTTTAGGGAATGCTTTCTAACTGGTGCTAGTAAAGTGTGGATCATAGAAACCTGAGTGTTGCATTGCAGAGAGGATCAAATTGTGGTTTTACGGCCTCTTGTGAGTTTGGAACGTATCTTTCTATGTGTCTTTGTGTCTTTCCATCTACCTGTCATTCTGTTTTCTTTTTAAATTTGTTTTTATTAACTCCAAAAGGAATCCTACCTAGTCAATATTGCATAACTTTCAATTCAATACAATGACATTAATGTTGAACAACCCGCTTGATGTCAGTGCGATATCTGTTCAATACAGGGCACAATAGTAGAAACGTCCATGCTCTATTCTACAGTTCAGTTGCCCATTCCCCAGGTGATCAATCAGAGGCTCAAGCCATGGTTCAGCAGTTCCCATACAGCTATGTACGGCTACGCTGTAGCTGTCCTTCAACAAGCCTATGAACCTGCAATAGTAATTCTGGATGCTTTGTAAAAGGTGAAGCTGGGATGGAATAAAAGGCATATTTAAAAACAGGAATTTCTTTCTCTGGGTTCTCCACTCTTCTTGTTGGTGGTCAGGGAAAGCTCTACCCCATTGTGAAGACCGAGTGATTTCTATTTCTCTCTGTCCTTGCAGGTCAAGCCAGTTACTCACAGTAGAATCACTGCGTCAGCACGGTTTCGAAAACCGTTCCAGGAACCCTACACGATTTTGTAAGTTGAATTTTCAGTTACTGAGATATTATTTTTTTCTTCCTTTCTTAACTTCAGATGATTTTTGCTTTAAATGGTCCTTCAAATTATATTACTTTGCTTTATTTCAGCCTGGTTGCTAATGGAGACCTTATTAGCCCTGTAGTGCGACTCCTTATACCCAGGAAAACTCTGAATCACTGGGACCACATTCTTGAAATGGTTACAGCAAAGGTTTCCCTCAGAAGTGGAGCTGTTCACAGGTATCAGGAGGCTGAATATTTGTGAGATACAGCTGCTGTTTACATATGTTCTTAAAACTCTGGAAGTAGATATGGATCATGCCTGTTTTACAGGAGTTTCCTCTGTAAGAAAACTACCTTTAGAGGTCCCTTCTATGATTCTAGAAGCCTGGAAATGCATTTACTCTAGATCAGTTTCTTGTATCATTTCAACTGCTTTTTAAAAAGAAAAAAATAAACAAACAACACCAAAACTCTAAACATTATTCAATTCTTATTTCTCAACTAAATGTTTAATTAGCAGGTATGCAATAATACGATAATAATCCAATGTATTTAATATAAATAATGAAACAACATGTTAAAATGACATAAATGACCTCTGTAAAGCCAGTCAAAATATCTGGAATGTCCTTTTTTACCTTTAATTTTGGAGAAGGGAATTCCTGTTTTTAAATACGCCTTTTATTCCACCCCAGCTTCACCCTTTAACTCACTGGGGCAAACAATTTCAAGGAAAACGCTTTAGGTGCTTTGGTCTTTGAAGACCTGTTCTCTGACAAAGATGTGCTTCATAATCAGTCAGTTCAGCCTCCAGGTAAGAGTCAGGGCATTCCAGTATTTTCCACTGCTCTAGTTGTTACGGTATCCCCGGCATATGCTGTAGATTGATTGCAATCAACTTGAAATGTAAAATAAGCTCTCTAGAACGAGATCTGATTGTCGCTGCAGGTTTTAGAGCAGAATGATATGTGGTCTCCATGATAAACTTTACTGTGTAAACAGGCTGCCAAAGATGTGCACTGGCAAATGACCGACGTTCCAGTGTTACCCCATGCAGAGCACATTATAGAAATCTATCCTTCAGATAGGAAAGGGGTGGAAAATCATTCTTCCTTTCTTATGCAATTTCTGAGGCTAAGCTTGCAGAATATTTCTCAAATCAGTGAAAATGCAATAATCTGACTCAGTTCCTGTGATTACTTTTCCAGAGATGGTACAGACCATAAAAGATGAAGATAATGCTGTCTGTTGAGTATTAGCTCTCATCTGTTTTTCCCCTCCTTGTCTTTTGTTTGTTATCTGGCTTCTTATCACTGTTACTTCCATCAAAGTTAACCTAACCTAATTTTTCAGCTTTCTGGATCTGATTCTCAGCTATCGTAATCCTGAAGTGAACATAATAACAGCTGTTCACAGAATCATTTTTTTCTACTTCCTAGGATGATTAAGGTTTTAAAAACCTGTTGTCTTTTATTCTCATTACTTCCAATCACTCCTTGGTGAATCTGACTGATATATATGAAAGCATATATAGTTATGGAATCATAAAATCATAAAATCACAAGGTTGGAAACGACCTACAAGATCATCTAGTCCAACAGTCTTCTCATTGCCATTGCTACCACAAGCTACTAAACCATATCTCGCAGCTTAGACTAAGACTTATGTGTGTAGTTAAAATTGCTGTTGAGAAGTATTGTGTTCGTTATTCTTTTCAGTGTTCTGTTGCAATCTTTAAAAAATAAGATAACAGATAAGATAAAGATAAAGCACATAGTGCTTTGAATTATTTAATGTTTTCCCTTTTTTGTTCTTATTTGAATCCAGTTTTCATTGCTTTTTCCTTAAAATGCTAAAATGCTACTGGTAGAGTGATTGTTATTCTTTAATAAGTTACATATTAATTGCTGGGGCTTACTGAAATTATGTTACTGTTAGCAGAGCTGCTATGAGACCATTGATTCCAAGGAAAGCTAAGTGGAGTTACGAGAACCTGCATTATGTGTATGGCAGTTTTTCTTCCTCGTGTCATTAAATGACATCCAAAGCTGCCAAGACTTTTATAGTTTCACATGTAGCTTTTGAAAACAATTACTGATCATCATCATAAGAACACAGATATAAGTAAGAAATATGAGAGAGAAGACAAAGAGAAAGTAGTCTTTCTCCTTGCCAGATTGTGCTTGGTGATAGGGTACAGCAACCTGATCAGCATGTATCTGGTAGGCAGGCAGGTGTTCGAAAACAATGATTCCTCAAGTTACTGTCCACTTTGTCAGCCTATGTTTGCTTTGTTTTGGCTGCCACTTTTTGGCTGGGACTGAGGGAAAATGGAAGTTCATCATGAGCCTACAGTTCAAGCTCTCACCCAGTGAGAGTGAGCAGAAATGACTGCAAGAACATTTCCTGCATAATATCATCCAGGGAAGTATGAGAGAACCCAGGATGTTTTTGAATGGTTTGGACCAGTTGAGGGGGTAACAAGCTGCATAAGTAGTGTCACAAAAATTGTGTATGTGTGTGATACTGGTTATTCCAGTAGTTTCATATATATCTCCCTTCTTAAAAAGTGCATTTTTAATTCCCCTTTCTTCTTCAGTGATTGGTTTGGTTTCATCCAGTTGTTACTGTCATTATTTTCTGGATGAAAAATAAAACTAGAAACTGCCAGGTGCTTGTAACTTTTGGGGAGTTACATTAAACAAAAATATTTGTGCGCTGCATATTAATATTAAATTAATTAATATTAAAACGTAAGCAAAGTGAAAGATCAGGTACAAAAACCCGCAGTCATGTTTGTAAGTATCACTATGCTCTGAAAGTAATACCTTCTATTTATTTCCATGGAAGTTACATCAGATACACAGAGCAGAATAACGCCGTTTGATAGAGCAGATTCTTAGCTACAAAACTCTATTTTTCAGCATAGCCACCACTTTTAGCTATGCATTTTCATCAGCCATGAACAAAAGCCTGCATGCTGCACTCATAAAAATTTGCAGCAGCTGAGATGAATCATCTGTGATGGTATCATTGCTAGGAAAATGTTTCCCACCCAGTCCGTCTTTATTTGGCCCAAAGAGATGGAAATCAGAAGGCACCAAATCTGGACCATACAGTAGATGCACAAGGACAACCCATAGAACAGATCCCACCCCAGATATCAAGAGGAAGGTGTTAACGACCAAAGGAATAGTAATAGATTCTTCACACTTAGTTAGAAATGGTGAGAACATTTGATCTGCCGTTGTGCTTCATATTTCATCAGTTTCAAGTGAGATTGGTCTACCTGTCATCTATGTCATTTTGCAAAATGGTAAGGTTTACTATGTTAAGACTTTACATATTCTTTCAGACTTTACACTTTAGATGGAAAACACATTCAGAATGGGTCAGACTTGGAGAAAGGGCAATTTTATGTTGCAGCGGGTAGAGAAAAGTTTAAGAAGTTACCATATGGCGAGCTGCTGTTTAGCAAATCTACAATAAGGCCACAGGGGTAAGTTCCGTATTTCTCATTCTTGTACATGTGCCAGAAATTTATAATTTATAAAACATTTATAAAAGATGGATGGATTTGCTTGAATGGATGCAAAATTTTATTGAAAACGTCTAAGAAAGTAGAGATAGAAATCTGTAATGAAAGAGAAAATGGGAATGGAAGGGATTATTTTGGCTCATAAATAAACCATCGATCATATTTCACAAAATTCTTATCAGACAAAAGTTTATTTTGCCTTGGCTTAATTTTTTTTCCTAATTCACAAATGAGATTATGACTTATTAGCTAAATGAGATCATGCGTAGCTACATTTGTCAGGGTCTGCTTGCATGGTAATGCTTTATGGAAAATGTACTCCTTAAAGAGTGCTTAATGTTTGGGTCGTTTTTGTAAGGCAGCATTATCACATAATAGAGCCCTAAACAGGGTCTCTGTAAGATGGAACTTGGGCTTTTGGTATCTTTGAAATGTGAAGTTAATTGGGAGTCATTGCAATGAAAGAAATGGAAATAAATAGAAACCTGTCCCACAGGTGAGTTTAGGGCATTTGTCCCACATTATGCATGTAAACTTTGCTGTATTTATTTATTTCAGTGAGCAACATGAGAAACAAAATTTAAAACAAATGAATTTAAAGACAGTGGAAAATATTGCTTAAGATGTCTTGATCAATTGATGATACAGAATTTTATTGAAATTGCTGGAACGTTTCATTATACTTGTTCTAATTATCCTACACTAACTCACTGACCACTGCCCTAGGGAGTAGAAGTGGGTTTAACTGTGCATTATGGTGAAATGTAATGCATTTTTTTTGGACTAAGTTAAGGATTATGTGTTTAAATGTACTCTAGTGAGCAGAAATAAGTGATTCTTAGCAAAACTCTGCAACTAGTAGATAAAACGATACCTGTTGCTATAGTTTTCTTGGTGTTGCTTGATTTAGGGATAGACTGATAGCACCTACGGAAGAAACAGTGTGCAGAACTCTAAGGTATGTTTTATTTCTGCAGTTCTAAAGCATCCGTACTGCCTCCAATTGCAGCACCTCGAAAATCTAAGGGCAGTGTAAGTATCAAATGCCACTGTGGTGTTTGTTTCTAGTTTTGCTTAATTCCGGCAGATGAAATCTTGTCCTCTGAGTTTAATTAAATCCATAGAGGAAAAAGCCACAGCCACCCTGTGGTATGGCTTGATGAATCTGTAGCTATTTGTAGTGTCAATTAGATAAAAAATCCAAGAAAATATTATCTCAGAAATGGATGTCTTGTTTTTTAAAAAGTCTTCCCTGGCAAAGAACAGCTGCTGCCTTGTGGTATTTCCCATAATACTTTTCAACTGTCTTTATTTGTCTGTATTTGCTCGTAATAAACCTGTTTGTTTATTCAAATTATGCTCCCAAAGGAAAAACACAGGGCCATTCACACAGCATATTGCAGAAAAAGGTGTTTCTGCATGCTGATCTGAATAAAGCCCGAGCCCAGTTTCCTGTCTAAGTGTTTTGTCCCTAGCTAACCATTGCAATGCAGAGGTTAAGCATCCACTGCTTTATATCATTTGGAGCTATTTACGTGTGTAAAAATGAGTTCACTATACACTCAGTGCCAAATTAGAATATAAATGTTTGTTTCACCAATTATGTACAAATGAAGTTCACTGTACAAGACAGCAGAGCGTCAGGTCTGCAGTTTGACATTCTAATTGCGTTAGCTGATTGTATCCGTTCACTATTCACAAATCAACAAACAAACAAACAAAAAAACACCTCTGGAACTTCTTAACAAAATAAGGAATAAAATATACAAGTCTGACTTCCATTCTCTTGAAACTCAGCATAAAGAATACAGTTCAAAGTAATGTTTGATATTAAATAAATGAGCTTTGCAAGCAAATTCCACAAGCAATTATTTATTAACTCTTCTTTCTTTCAATACTTGAAAGCACATAGAGAAAATTATTTATAATCACTTTTATTCCGTATAGAGATTGTAGTGAAAGAGAGTGAACTGGTATAGATTGTGAAACTGCTTAAGTTTGGTTTCTACATATTTTTACTATTATTTCTTGGGAGTGACAGTCTCCAGTTTGAATTAGAAGAAGCTGAAATACTTCTGCACCCTCAGTTTTTTTTGTATTGAAAGGTTAAATGGTAGGTTCAGTGGTACTGATAAATAAGTGCTTGATTAGATGGTCAAGTCTAGGTGGCATTTAAGTAAAATATTTAAAATAGAACTTCTCTCTCGATTGTACAAAAATCAGAAGAATCACACAAAATGGAAGAGATTCAAAATTTTGCTCAGGACGTATTTTTCTGAGCAATTTTAATTTTACATAGACATTGCTTTTAACTTCAGCACTGAAGTACCCAAGACTCCTGCAGAATGAAAGTCCTTTCTAGTAGGCAAGTTCTGTAATGTCATAAATTGTTGATGCAGCTACAGTAAGTGAAACACTAAAGTGTACTTGCCTTCCATGATTTATCAATGTCTGTGACAAAGTGAATGGTTCTAGACGCTGACATGGTTTTCTGTCCTCTGCTTGAGTGCTCTGTTGTTATACTGAGCATTTTGACAGAACTGGTTTAGTAGGAAAATACACATGCCATTTAAATGACAGAATTAGGAGGGTGACATCCCCAATTGAGAGGCAACTGTGGTTCAGTTGTTAATCTCTTAACCCACCTTAGTGGGATGTTAACAGCATCATAAAGGGCTGCAATATGCAGCCAAGGTTTTTATGATATTTCTTGTGAACAGATTCTGACTGGGGAAAAATGCTGTGAATAAAATCTCTAGCTGCTAGAATTATTGGTATGTCCAGCACCGTACATAACTGTAAGCTGAAAACATCAGGTTCAGGTTTCTATTGCTTGTTCTGAATTCACAACCCAAGAAGCAGAGGAGTCGGGTGATTTCCTTGGTGGTGATTGAGAGGTGACATGCTGGCAGACCATTCTGTTCATTTGGTAGTCAGTGCTCCTGCCACATAAAGACTGCCATCCTCTCCAGACACTCAGCAGATCAATATCTATGTTGTATTTACACAGACAGTGAATTATTCACACGCTACACCTTCACGTATGCATAGATGAGATACACACATGTGAATGAAATACAGCTATTTAATTATGTGCATGTATAGGTTTGCCTAACCATTCTTTCCATCAGATGAAACATTGTTTCCTTGTGGTAATTGTGTTGTTTTCTTCTGTGACTGGTTGAGGAGCATTTAATTAGTCAGATCATGTAGAAAGTTGATAATACAATTACAGTTTTCCAGATTGTTTTAGATATTCTTTAACTGTACTGATCGTAAGTTAATACATTTCTTTAACACCTGATTCAATTCCATAGATATTAAAAATTTGGAATAATGTTGAAACTTCATCATATTCATCAGTGATGATGATGAACACTTCTTTTCAGGGAAATGATTGGCAGTCTAAATCTACTGTTGGATCCAGTGACCCTGGGGAGAACAGTTCCTCACCTCAGCCTCCAAAAGAGAAGGGCAAAAAATGCCATAATCCAGAGGATTCTGTGTCCAGAGGACACAGTTCTATCAAATCTACTAAAGAAAATCAAACAGCTTCCACAAGATACCTGCAAGATAATGGTGAGTACTGAGATAAACTCAATCATAGCATAGTGGCTTTTTATCTCCTGCTAAACCAGTGAAACACAGACCTAGTGTGGTACTTGAACTGTCACTTTTCTCTGGCTCATTTAATTTACTCAAGTATTTTTGCTTAGAGTAATTAATAGAGGCCAATTAATATCTTTAAGTAGAAATAAATTATACTTTCCATAACATTTGATACCGCTTCTAACTGCTGTTTGTGTTTGTAATTAAGTGTGCAATAATCACCTGTGGTTTAAAATTTCAGTATACATCATCCAACATCACCGTGGTTACGTCTGCATTTGAGTTGTAAATTTACTTTTTCAGTCAGAAGAATTTTGTAAATTTGAGTTTGAAAAGAACAGTGCAATATTTTTTGTATTGTAAGAGTTTTTTTTCAGAGTAAGCTTGTTGAATTTTCATTTTGTTTCAGCCTTAAGTCAAATTTCATTTTGTCCTGTTGTTGGTAAGCGTATAATTTTAGCCAACAGTTCTTCAGTAGTTGTTTTCTTACTGAAGAACAGTGACTGTATTAAAAGGGATGTGACTAGAACTGTTCATCCTTTACAACACATAAAACAGCTCAATAGTTTCTTTCCATTGAAATTATCATATGTATCCTCAATTTTTCAGATTCATTGATACATGCTAGAAACGTTTAAGGGAACGATTTCAGATCTGGTCTCTCAGAGAGGGCTGTCAGTGCTTAGCTTAATAGTTTTGGGGGCTCAGGGGAAAGCCACTGTATTTAATGTTTATCCACTCCGGATATCTTTGATTACTCATACATTTTTCATTTAAAAATAAATAGATGCACTGACTTATGCTGGGAAATGCTGGTACAGGATTCTTCATACAGACCTCAAAATCCCTATGCTCTGATCAAGCCTCCTGTTCGGAGTACTGATCTGCTATGTGTAAAGACATAGCACGTAATCACAGAAGGCTGAGTTCAGCAGGGTCCTTTGGAGGCTATCTAGTCCAACCTCCTGCCCAGAGCAAGTTGTGTGGTACCATGCCCAAGTGGCAAAGCCATCTAGACTGTAGTTAGGCAGATCTCACTCAAACCTCATACACTAAGAGCAGACAAAGAAGGTAAATTTTCCTGATTAGTCTCATTAAGTTGATTTTCTATAAATTTTTTTCCATCCTGAGGATTTTTGTAAAGAAAGTTTTTGCAGATGTTTTCTGGAAGAAAGGAGATCCCTCTTGCCAAGGCAAGAGAGATGACTGTTTTTTGTGGACCTTATACTAGGTTAGAAGGTTTCAGATAACATCTTTTGTTTTCCCAAGGGTGGAAAGAGTATTGGAAGCACTCATAGGTTTCTCTGTCCTTATAGCGGGCAGTGACTGAGGAACAAGTCATACTTTGGTAGATAGCAAATTTAGGGAGTTATTTCTCTCTCCATATTTAGTGCTACCACTTCTCTAGCTCCCGACAGAAATGTTTGGAAATCCTCTGAGTTTATTAAAGAACTGATTGCTTGCTGTTTCCACTTCAGATTTTCCATGCTTTGTGAGTCTTCTGTGACTAAAAGCTATTAAAGGCAGCCAGTTCTCTAGTTTGAGCTAAAGAATGTGTTGAGAGAAGTTTTCATTTCTCTTCTCTTCATCCTTGTTGTATGAAGACTGCTAGTGGATGTGGGAATGTGAGGTTTGATGTGTGTGCTGTTCTTCAAGTCTGGACCTAGCTGGTCATGCAGGCAGTTACTGAGAAGATGATGCTTCTGGGTTGAATTCAGACAATATGGGATGAGAAATTCCAAACCTTGCAATGAGTTTCTGATGGAGTGCAATCCCTGCTCTCACGATTTCTGTTGATGAGGAGATGTATGCTAAGCCAGTAAGAACTATTTTCTTTTCCAAGCACAAAAACCAAAGCATTTCATCCTCCTGTAAATCTTTAGGTGAATCACCATGAGCACTGCAGACTTGTGAACTTTTACAGGCTTTATCTTTCTCTAACTAAATTTCCCAGTATTTGTTCACCCAATCAAATGGAAAACATTCCAGGAAGAAGTTGCCTGAAGATTCTTACTAAGAGGCTCCTGTCTCAAAGTGATTTTCAGCTCTGTTTGTGTTTTAAGAAGAACATCACCATTATTTAATTCTTCTAGTTCAGTTTAAATGTATTTATTTGCCACATTTTTCAAAGAACACTTCATGGTGTTTTACTCCCCTCTCCCCTTCTGTCTGTTTTTTTCCCTGGTGCTCTGAGTTAAGATGTTTTGTTTCATTTTTTTCCTGTTCAGAAGAGTGAAATTAAAATTTCACATTTTCTGCATTTTGCTTTACAAGCCTTTAGGAATGGTAGCTGGTATCCTGCACTTTTGAATCTCTTAAATCTTACTGGATCACTTACTTCTTAGTGGAACTCTTCCTGGATAAATGGCTTATCACTGTGTAAAACTAAACATGTGAAGGAGGAACATGGTGTTTTGGAGTGGAATTCCAGTTGTCTCTTTTCTTTCCCTTCAGTCACTTTGACTGAAAATTCGTAAGGGAGCACTCTAGGCCACTTAAAATCTTCAACCTTTTCCCACTCTCCCATCTGTCAAAGAAGTACAGAAGTGCTTGCTGCAATAGGTTTTTGTAATAGTTGCTAACCACATTCTGAAGTAGGTAGGTCTCATCATAAGAAAAGGTAATTCAGGCCCTTTACCCAAATTGTTTTCTAAATTGAGATCTACTGGACTGGTAGAGGAATCCAACATTTTGCAAAGAGCTAGTGCTGCTGGCAAAGCATTCACTGTTTCTTTTGACCCACTGAAGTGAGTGATGCATTTCACCACTTAAAGAGAAGCAGACACGACCCTCTGGAAGAGAATGATGTTTGAGATATGTTGTTGGAGATGAGGCTGAGCTGAGCAGTCAAGCTACCAGTGTCAAATTGTTTGCGTTTTCGTAATCACTCTGTTAATCCAGCCAAACCTGAAGGCATTACACTCAGTGCAATTTCTTTTTGTTGTGTTTTGAAGCATTGTAGATTGGGCAACTTACCTGGTGGCAAAATCTAAAAAGAAAGGGATCCATAATGTAATTGATATCATTCTTCTTGAGATAACAGCACACAAAAATTTTTTTTATGTGCTGATGTTGTGAAAAAGGCACAAAAATAAAGAAAATTATTTTTTAGGGATATAGTTTAGGTACAAGCAAAAAAAAATCAATTTCATCATTAACGTTAGGCAATAAAATGCACTTATAAGATTGTTAGAGCTACCTAACACTAACGACTTTGAAATTAAGTGCTTTAATGTGCGTAGAGCACATTCCCATGGAATTCAAGAACATCATTCAGACAGATAGGAAATTTCTATGTTTATAGCTACAATTATCAACATCCTTCTCCTTAAGAATTTCTGGAGATAACAATTCTTTTCTAAAAAATAATATTACAAGTTGATCTACTCTTGAGTGATTTACTAACAATAGATTGTGAGTTCTCAAATAAGAACTTTCTTAGGCTGCATGCATGCAGATTTTTTTCTTCCTCTGTTGAACCCTAGGAATCCAAAAGAGGAGTTAATACATCATTCCATGCTTAGAATCATAGAATCATAGAATCACTAGGGTTGGAAAAGACCTAAAAGCTCATCCAATCCAACCGTTCACCTATTCCCAACAGCTCCCACTAAACCATGGCCCTCAACACAACATCCAGCCTTTCCTTGAACACCCCCAGGGTGTCCAGCCTAGATACATTTTACTGTCAGTGAAGAGCAATGAGGAGAGATGTGTAACAGGAGCTAGTTCATCCTTCCTGAGTGGATACTACTTCTGAAATTCCATTTGTGCGGGCTGAGCATGTGTCACCGAGCAGCTGTAGAAATGCTTGTATTGCCAAGGCTTTGGTGGAATTGCTGAACGGGGGATGAAAAGAAAGACAAAAACTCTTCTAGTTTACTTCTCTATCTGGTTATCACATGTCTTCCTTCTGTGATCAGGCTGGGAGCAAAGAGGGACGTGCTGTTCACTTTTGGCTATTTCATCCTCCTTTTTTACTCAACAATGTGTAGCTTTGCAATAGGTAGTGACATGTGCTGTGATTTTGAAGAGTGGTCTGGCCAAGGGGCTGCTTCAGCTGTATGCCAGATTTCTCTATAGAGTAACTTCCTAGCTTTAAAAGGGCTTTTTTAGATTTTACAGAAGTCATAGTTTTGTACCTTTCATTTGCAGTTTTTTATAGCTACAAGTCATTATGTGTGTGTGAAATATAACTTTCTTCTTCAGTATTATTCTTTTGAACTTATCCATTAAATGTGCGTTCCAAGGCCCTTAAAAAAAAAACTGTACACTTAGTGGTTGATTTATGGATTATGAGTTTTTAAAGTGACTGTAATTTTCTGCACAATTGCTAGGTGTTTTGTATGAAAATAATGGATGTGAGGCAAGAACTCACAAGGGCAAAGAATGTTATAGTTTGCATTGTAAGCATTTGTTAGAAGCTAATGGGAATGCTGTGCTACAGCTATGAAACGAGTAGAATCAAAGTTGTAGAATATCTTGGGTGGGAAGGGACCTTAAAGATCATTTAGTTACAAGGACCTGCAAAGATCATTGATGGGGATGACTCAAATTTCAAGTAATATCATTGCCTTTTATACAAAAACAATCATAGGGCATAAATCATCTCTCTAGGAAGCCTGTTTCAGTGTCTGAATAACCTTTAGGTATCTGGTCTGGACATCCTCTAGTGTGGCTTTGTGCCATTTCCACTTTTCCCTTTAGTAGATGCCAGGGGATAGAAGAACACCTTCCCCTAAATCTTTAACTCAGTTTTAAGAGGAAATCTGCATAGAACATCAGGTATGGCATCTGCTCCTGGTATCATTCTCTAAACTTCTTTCAGTAAAGTTGTGAGCTTTCCAAAGAGTATACATTTGGACTGCTGAATATCAGCTGTGCACTTTGTGCTAGAACTGTTACTGTCCATGTTGCCCAGCTGACAGCTTTGCTAATATAAGAGCTATCTTTAGTTAAACAAGGATGAA